CCATGTAGTAATTCTGTTTATAAGAAGTGGACAGCGTAGTGGCCATGCAATATGTGGATGTCACCACAGAGCTTATGCATTACTCGGAAAATTGCAGAAGCAGAAAGTATAATTTCTGCTTAACGCTGCTGAACCGTATATAGTACTATCTTCAGCCAAACTCAGGACTGTGGTTTTTGTCCACTATCACTTCCCCTGGAGACGCATTATGAAGGGATCTTTTTAAGGCCAGTGTGAACAGGAGGAATCAGTCAGTCATGTTTTGAGATAGATTTGGAAAAAAGTACCTATCCTTTAAGCTATTCTTTAGGTGATGTGAGTCATGTAATGGGTAACATTTATCAATCAGACTCAGAAGACAAACATTACACATGAACTGAATCCTATTAAGTTTGCTCAGTGTTCCTTTGAGGACATTGTTAGTACAAGTGCTGACCAGCGGATATACAGTAGGGGTTGCACAACAACAATCGACAAGCCTCTTTTAAACATCATCTAGTTGTGTGTTTTTAACCAATCGGATTATATCAAGCAGCCATGTCATCTCCATCAGAACCTTTGAGAGGAATTGATATACTGTTCTGCTCTCCAGTCACCAATAATTTGTGGTGAAAACAACAGATTTAAAAACATCTGAAAAGGCAGCAACTTAACACACTTTAGAGTCACTGCTCAAGGTGGTGTTACTTATTAAAAAATACAACAAATGTATCTTTATACATACCACTGTTAAAGCAGCAGAGATAAATTATTGCAACACTTATAACTAATACCCCAAAGGACAGTGTGTTCACCAGTTATTAATGGTAAAAACAAACTAAGGTAACTTAGAATAAAAAGAAAAATAATGTTATAATAATGAGTTGCTCATCATAATATGATTTAAATTGCTCAGAAATGTCCAACCTTTGCTGGAAGATAATTGGTTCTGACTAAATTTGTAAAGTTCAAATCAAGCACCCTACAAGCCTTGACATGGAGGATTGTTTTTCTTGTTGGTTTTATGTTAATAACTAGTTGATGCTTTGGAAAAGTAACACTCAGTGGTGTTCACAACAGTCAAACCTTCAGTGCAACCTCTACTATACAGTAAGATACAACGAGAGAGAAGCAGAGATTAGTTCATGCCTGCAATTCATAATACAAGAACTGACCATGAACCATTCTGAATGAGGTTAATGTTAAAATCACAGAGCTTAGCATAATCCATGCAAAGCCATTCCAATACCTGACACCTCGAATGTTATTACATATAATCATTTGTTTCATTAACTGTAAAACAATTATGATCCAATGGTAAATGATTGAAGTAATTTTGGTTTTATAATCACTGACAGAAAGACCTTAATTGTCCTGTTACATCACACTTTAACCTTGAACCCAGCAATGCAAACGTTTAAAAAGTGAGATTCATTCATGTCTGCGATGTTACATAATCATTTACATCTTGACAAATAGAAAATGAGAACAAACATGGTGCATATCCATAATTTCCCCCAACAATGATAAATTGAATAATCAATGCAACCCCACCCACCACAATTTGACACCACGATCTTCAATTAAAAAGTCCAAGCCCTGTGTAGGATGAGTTTGCAAGAAAGCATGAGCGTCCAAAGAAAGGGCAAAGGGAAAGAGAATGGAAAGTTCATGTGGAGGACTGACATGTTCAAATTTATGTCATCACTTGTTTATCTTTAACAATCTAGTAGCTGTTTTATTATTCATACGTTACTTTCCATTCTTCTACTTTGCACCTTTCTATTGGCCCCAGAAAGACAAAAGTCTGCTGCACCAAAAAGGATTAAGTGAAGCTAATGTTCAGCAATGAGAACAGAAGAAACAATTACCACAGAACTGAGGTCACTCTAATGGAGAAAATAAAATACAAGACATAATAAACAAATGAAGTTACATGCCAAAGACGATGACAATGAATATTTGCATAATATAAAAAGCTACTGGTATGAAAATGAGAAAAAGGAAAAAGCTTGTCGCCTCTGTGAGGAAAACGCTTGATCTCCAGCTCTTTACGGTGTGCTTTTCTGGGAAGCTGACGTTTCTGGAGGTACAAGGGTTTTCCAGGAGACCTGTCTTATACTAACTGCCCCTATAAGCAGCTGGAAATGTTCCTAACTATGATATGAAACATGATATGAAGCATGCTACAGTAAGAACTTGCATGTCAGACAATACAGTTCTTCTTCTTACAGAATGACGTAGTGAGAATGAGTGTGTATGCTGGTAGCAGCACTTTGTATTCCGTTGGTGGAGGTATTTGAGAGTGGCTAACTTACCTCTGCATTGTAGAACTTTGTCTTCACATCCAGTGGCTTCAAAACCTGATTGAAAATAGATTGCAGACTGAATGCTGTAGTTTTCTCACACTGTACCTCCATTCAGCAAAAAGAATTCTAATCAGACTGGAAATCTTCAGCTAAGAAAAGGAGGTAATTGCAATCTGAGGGACAATACAGGTCTTACTGAAAATGTTGCTAGAGAGAAGGGAACAGGGTTACAATTAGTTCACAAAGTGAGCGCTGAAGACTGCAGGACACCAGATCCATAGCTTGGATGGTAATTGCATTTGCTCTGTTGTAGACCTGTGACATTTCTCAGGTCTCCTCCAAGCTTACACTTGAGTTAACCCCTGCCGTCTAATGACAGTGCTCAAATATAACTCACCTGGAATTTGAAGAACTTCCGAAAATAGAGCTTCTCCCCATACTGAGTGGTGTAACTGACAGCACAAACTAAGCTGGAAATTGGAGGAGAGGAAACAAACGTTTAAAAAATGCAAACAAACCAACAACACATTTCTTATCCATTACGGGATTGCTTCTCTGATTGGTCAGTTGGGGAGATATTTTGGGTTTTGGTGACACTGTGACGCGCTATAACAAAATAAGGGAGTGCATCTATTGTAGGAAAAACACTCACATGTGGGTTCCAATTTCTTTGACTTCGTGGTGGATAACGTCATCAATGCAACATTCAGGTTTAAGTTCTGATACTGCAGAGTTTGACGCCGAGAGGTTGAGCCTCTGTGAGCTGGTCTGTAGATCAGCCTGGAGAATTATGGGTAAAACAGGAGTGTAAAGGGTGAAATAAGTGATGGACGGGTATTTCTTATTATTATTTCTTTTTTTTTTTTCACAGCACCTTCACAAGAATGTCCTTCACAACTTGGTTGCTATCATTGTGCACACTGATGTAACTGGAGAAGGTCTCGCCGAGGAAAATATTTCTGTGTAGTGCAGAGACGTGGAAAAGTCAGATCTTTAAACTTTAAAACAAAAGTTTGATCCACAAAAAGTACATAGTGTTAACGGTTTAATTCTCCTACAGAAAATTAGCGTTTATTACCCAAAGTTCTGTGGTAATGTAAGCATCTCCCCGAGCATTAAAATCTCCGCTCCTTTGATGGTGGACGGGTCCTCCCTCATGAGCTGACCGAACAAATCTCCTACACAGGGAAAAACACGTATGTGTTAATCTGCTGACACAACACTTAACACAATGTTTGTTGCCAGGAAGAATCAAACACCTGTATTAAAGACAGAAGTTATTTAAGCAACAAAAATATATGGTTGTACATATGATATTACTATAATAACCATTCTGTACACCAGGGAACTATTCATACCAACAATATGGAAGTCCATTCTGTCTTACCTACACACAACCTAAAGATGCAAATTTGTAACTAAAATTAAACTTGTTTGTTTCCAATTTTTAACTGCCAAAATCACAGTTAGTACTAATGTGCCTGTAGATTTTTATAAAACCTGTGGACTGTGTAGATATATAAGATGTGGACACTGTAAGGTTTAATAAAAGTGTTTCTGTGAACTGCAGGGAGGATCAGAGAGAAAGGAGCTTTGAAGATCAGCTTTCAAAGCAGCCTGAACCAGAAGGGTTTTATTGGGATCAAATTTCTGTCCCACTGCCCAACAATTTGGTCACATACATCTTATGCTGTGATCATCACTGACTAACTACTACTACTATGACTTCCACTCATACATCTACCTCTATCATTAAGAACAACAATACGACCAATATAGAAGATTCTGCATTGAGTGCAGGAGTTAAAGTGGAAACACAAGAGCAAAAAGGGCCAATGGTTTTATGTTTCTAATGTCCAATTCAACCAATTCATCTTTGTGCACTTGGAAATATGCCAACACTTCACTGCTACTCTTACATAAATAGCAATCCTACCTAGAAGTGTCAGCGTGATTTATGGTATATAAGGAGTTCAGTTACCAGTGCAGCTAACATGTTTCTCTGTGCTGTACACTGACAGAGGGGAAAACAAACACTGCAACTCTCTGTGGGGTTGCCATCTAAAACTGGGACTGTAAACCTATAATACATTACACAGTGCATGGCATTTTAACACTGTAGAAGTAAATGAATAACACATTTAGAAAGACTCTCATAAAAACGCTACAGACATTACATCCTTGTCACTTCAGCACACTTATCATAGCTCTTTATTGCAGGCATTCACTCAAAGCACGAATGTCCATTTCCTGCATTCCCTATGGCCTCTTTAATGAGGGTTTTGTGATTTTAAAATATTTGCTTTTGTTTCCTCAAATAAACTTTTTCCACATAACACACATGGAATGTGGTCTGCTTTCTCGAGTGAGATGTTAAATGTTAAATCATAGCACAACCACAGAGAATTTCAGCTATTGGTTCGGGAGGTTTGTGAGAGGAACACTGGGGGAAAAAAAGAAGAAAAGCAGAAGTTATTTTTCTCAGAGACACAAAAGAAAAAGTGGAAGCAAAACATCCACTCTCGCCTGGTCTCGGTTCTCATGTCGTTTCCCATCGTGCCCGTTATTATGAAATGTTGTCATGAACTTCTCAAAAATGGGAGCGCTTGTATTTTAATCTGACGTTGGTGTTTACAAAGCCTCCGTCAGTTTCTCAATCACACTCGTGGACTGAATTCACTGGGATTATATAACGTGGGCGGAGAGCCTCTTAAACTGCTTTGTGGTTGTAAAAAGTCGGAGTTTGACAATGAAGGAAGAACTTGGTTGCGGGGGGAAGATTTATTCAAAAAGACAAATGGCAAGAAAATGACACAGAATTGTTGCGCTGATGTTTTCTCCACTGTAATCTTTAATGTGACCTTAAAGCAAAAAAGATCCAGGGTTTGAACCTGACTGTGTGGAGTTTAGGTTCCCAACAGGTGCTCCGGTTTCCTCCCACAGTTACCTGATCTAACAATGCATCTTAAAACGACTATCCACCTGCTGTAATTCCTCCTTCTGCTCTGCTGTAGATCTGTGGGACTCTGGGTTTAACAGGCTTACCTGGCAGATCTCGATCTTCACATGTGACTGGCAGGTTTGTGAAGAGTGTCGGTTTTGTTAACCGCATCACTGCAAAACAAAGCCACATTGGTTAGTTACTGTGAGCACGTTAAAGGACCCCTGAATCCACCACATCCTAATGCCAGTAACTTCAGCATTACTTAACAATCGCATGCAAGGTTTTATTCCAGTATACGACCACAACAGATCACCATCTACTGTCATCTTGGGTTGTAATACATAAATAACCTTTATTTGAACTGGTTTAACACACAATTTGTTTTGTAGGTGGCACACACAAATAGCAACAACAACAAATAAGAAGGAGCTTGTGCAGTGTGTATTGAATCTACTCGTATTGGGTGCACAGTCATCACAGGCAGAATGAGGTTTATTGGCTGTAGCAGCTGCCTGACACACAATCAGTGCACACTTACAGACAGACAGACAGACACAGACACATCACAGACAGACAGACAGACAGACAGACAGACACATCACAGCTCACTGAAGATTACAAAAGCAAGTGAGCAACGTCAGGTTTCACAGCTAAAGCAGCTAAAAACACATCAGCAATCCGTGCAGGAATACTCCGAGTGTCAGCTTCGAGGGCCAATAACGACAACATATAGCTTTTTTTTGCAACGTTGCACCTGTCACAAACAGTCTATATATTTCATTTTTACCGAATATTAAAGTTTGACACTGTTTTTAGCTCGCTAAGTAGCGCTATTAGCAGCTTATAACAACAAATGTCCAACAGTTTGAACCGCTGGAGCAGCGTCCGGATATGACGAGCAGCTGTGTGCTGTTACAGTGGCGATGAAATACCTTTTAACGCGAGCAGGTGTTCCTGTTTCGCCTGATTTACATCCATTTTGACAGAAAAAAGGTCTTTTCGGGTGGTGTTAGCTGCAATGCTAGCTGGTTGTTGTGACGAGCGCGTTTCTTCTTCGTGTTTTAATGTGGGACGCTCTTACGACGTAATACTGCCCCTCACAGTCCGGGACAGGTACTACAGCAATAAAGAATATCATTTGTCTTTTGTTTTCTTTTCTTTTATTATAGATTTAAAAAAAA